GGCGATTTGTCAAGTTCGTTCAAAGATGTGAGAAATGTGTTCCCTAAACGAGTCCTTTTTTTCTCTGCAAATATATCTGAAACTGGGAAAAAAGCTCTCTCTAAAGTCTTGCGAACTTTTTCAAATAGTGGAATATTAGAAGTTCCATAAAGCTTTTGACTGTAATTTGTAAAGGCAACAGCAAATCGCGAATGCAGCGTATGGTCGAGGAGAATGCTTTGTTTCTGACTGAGAAAACAACGCCTCCAATTTCGTTCCTCTACAATGCGCAGTATTGTTTTAGGTCTCGCCTGAATTAACTTCCTGTATTCTTTCTCGTCCAGCAGGAGATGAGCTCATATCGGTCATTCATTCTGTGGCCATAGAGATATATGATCTTGTTTCAACAACAGTTTCTGGAATACCCATGAAGGTTTGTATTAAATACTTTATAGGAGCTCTTCCGATATGTATGGTGTCTACGAAGTACATAATTTGTTGTTATAAGTGAGCCTTATAAGGCGCCACTTTCTTTGCAATTTTCATTGATTTCTGAAAGGAATATCATTTGATTAATGTTCAAAGTTGAAACCTTTTTTGCAAATCATCTAAGTTAACCGCGCGGTGTTCTGCGGTCTTCTTATAATTTTTTGGCAGTGGGATTTTAATAAGGTTTTGGAGTTGTTTTTAAGCCAATTTGCAGCCTGATTATCTTTTTTGAGAGAAGCTGTTAAATACAATGTAAACTGAATGTTCTTGATGCTGGCTGAATAGAGCGGAAGCAGTTTTTGCAACCTGAGGTTGTCTCTCAACGACTCCCATCCTTTTTCCATTGTTCCAGGAAGAAGCTCAACAGGGTCAATCCGCAGTTGCGATAAATTACGATGTGGAATTGCTGCACAGTAGAGAGGTGCATATAGAATTGGAGCGGTTGGGACTTGTGATAGGAAACACTATGAACAAAGGTTAAACCTTTTTTTTTGAATAGTTTCATACAAAAACACATCTTAACTTTCTCTTTTAGCGCCGGATATCACTGGAACATTGATGGTGTATGCTGATAATTCCACCTATCCTACTGCTCGCCTTGTGTGGTCCACACCTATGCCAAAAGGACGTTGGAATATGGTAATGCGGTATTTTGTGCTTTAACTTCTTTACGCATTTTTTGTCTATTTAACTTGTAAGCTGCACCTTAAATATTTGGTGACTTTAGCAGAATGGCAAATTGCCTCAAAGAATTTTTTTTTCATGTTGTTTGGAGAAGATAATTTTGTATTTTATGTTTTTATTTGAGAAGGAATAGTATGTTACAACTGTTTGTTTTCTCTTCTTCTTCCCTTGCTTCTTCTGCCGCTCATGCCCCTAATTCTTCTACTTTGACATGAAACAACAACCAAATCTTCATTGGAGTATATAACTGCTTTCACTTAACATTACTTTTTTATCTAAAATAGATGTATATTCATTTGGTGCTAAAGATTTGTTAGTGTCAAAGTTTTTTCAGTTTCCTCGTAATCGTCACGTCTCTAGGGTGACACCTTCAGCCGTTAACAGCCGACCATCTGTTTGTCTCTCTTCGTATCTCCTTCAAGGGCGCAATGTCATGCTTGAGATCACGGTGTGTTTAAAAGCAGCTATAGAATTGACCATCACTTATAACATGAGTTTCAGCGCGTGCCCAGATGCGAAGGTATCATATCAAATGTGGGTGCCAAACTGATTGCTCATACCCTCATTGCACATGGGGGACATATTTACATTCATGCGAATGATGTTGGAACTCATGGTTTGTTTGTTCTTTTTCTCAACTTTTTATGTA